CAATACTACTACACATTTAACATTCTTTTATGATTAACGGTAAAATTCCACTTAAGCCCTCTTTCAGCTGATTTATATTTATTATACACTATAAAATAACCTCCAACATTTACCAATCATGATCAACAGTAAGGTTTAAGCATTATACACTATATAATGTGTTTTTTTCCAGACCTACTAGGATAGGATTGAACCAGTAAACCGCAGTTACCATTAGTTAGATTCGAACCCATGAACCTCTAGCATAGGGTTAGGATTAAATAACCAGAAATGATAGGTTAGATTCAAACCCATAAACCTCTAGCATAGGTTAGGATTGAACCAGTAAACCTCAGTTACCATTAGTTAGATTCGAACCCGTGAACCTCCAATGATAGGTTAGCATTAAACCCATAGACCTCAGTTTAGATTCGAAACCTCTAACATAGGTTAGATTCGAACCCGTGAACCTCTAGCATAGGGTTAGGATTAAATAACCAGAAATGATAGGTTAGATTCAAACCCATAAACCTCTAGCATAGGTTAGGATTGAACCAGTAAACCTCAGTTACCATTAGTTAGATTCGAACCCGTGAACCTCTAACATAGGTTAGATTCGAACCCATGAACCTGCATGTTAAAATCAAATCTCCAATACACACCCTGTATATAGGTACAAAGGTATAGGTATAAGGTGTCATTTACCACCATACCCATAACATTGCTGTAGCTCAACCAGCTAACGCATACAACTACCAACAAAAAGACCGGGGTTCGAAACCCGGTCAGGCCAACACTTTTTATCCACAAAACACCTACTGCACGTGGTCAGCTAAAGAGTACACCTAGATCATCTCAAGGTCAAATTTTGGCCCAAGCGCTGCCCTGACTACTCTCCATAAGAGCCTATGTTACACCCAAGGTATCGCCCCTAACTACTAACAACCTTAAGCTGCGTCATAAGGACTTGAAATTTGGAAACTGGAATTTTTTATTCTGGCAGTGCTAGGTGCTAAAGGAATAAAGGAATTCAATGAGTTAAAAATACAGATTTGGACTCACATAGCACCTAGCACTGCCAGAATGAAAAAAACCCAGTTTCCAAATTTCAGCTGTCCAGGTTTGCTGAAGCCAGGATATATATTGTATACCCTAGCTTCAGCAAACCTGCGGAATTAGCAAATTTTAATTGACCTGGATAGATTTTGACTGAAATATTACCTTGAAATTGTCACATTAGGTTTGCTGCTGCAGGGAAGTTGGTAAGGAGTAATGTTATTGAAATGGTAATAGTCAAGTATGCAAAATAAACAAATTCGCTAAATTCGATTAAAATACATCCATAAACAAACTACGACAGTTTAATATACGAAAATCCAACGGAAGTATTTCCCCTCTGACTTAATATCCGTACAGACCAAGGGATTGTCCAAATCACAAGGAATTATTTGTCTGGATCCGTTTCTTGATGAACATTGAGCTATCGGGGTGGACGGTAGATTACGGCACTTAACTTTCGCTGTTCAGAACCAGCACCCGTCACTTCTTCCAAAAGAAGGACATCTCACCGCTCTTATAAACTACAGTTATATAAGTTTATTTACATGCAGGGCTCTTGCAATACATCTTTACAAAGGGTTTTTGGATTTGTTCTACCCTAAATACTATTAGGAAACGATAGTCAAGATGTGTCAAGTGTTCAAGATTTTGAGCCTCGCTTCCTCGACCTTTTTATCTCCGACTTTCCAGCTGTTCGCCTACAATGTAGCAGTCCCTTTCTGCAATGTTGAATGGATTTTTCAAGTCCCTTTCAGACCAAATCAAATACTCTAAGAAAATATTTGTTTACAAAATCATATTTATGCATTAATAATAAATGCATGCATACAATGTTGTATGTCAACCAAAGCTGTGCATTTAGGGGCAGTTTCCAGTCTTTCTGCAATGGATTTTTTTTACAGTGACTTGGGTACTAATTTTGTTGCAGCCGCTAAGAACCTTACCGAAATGCACAAGCTTCTATCTCAATCACCTTTTTCAGAGGTTGTAAAAAGAGTCCATCTGATGGCACACAAAAGGAAAGGAATAAAATGGTACATAAATTCTCCTTTGGCTCCACACTTTGTAGGAATTTGGGAGGCCGTGGTGCAGCCGGCAAAATATCACCTCTTTCCCCATTATCGCCTGATCCAAATAAAAAAATGGGACAGATATATTAAACTTAATTTTTTTTTATTAACTTAACTTAGTTATATTAAACATAAAAGAGTGACTATATCTTGTCCAACAAGCAACTCAACATTTTTGGGAGATAGAACTCGGAATATTTACATCATTTCCAACAGCGCGGAAAGTGGACTCAACACATTCAAAACCTTCAAGTAGGAGACCTTACCTACAAAAAGGACATTCCTCATAAAGGATCCAAAACAAACCTACCTCCTCTTTACTGGCCTGCTGGATGAATTATTGCTGTACATCCAGGAAAAAATGGTGTTCGAGTTGTAACATTACAAACTTCATCAGGAAAATTAACACGACCAGTGGTTCAATTATTTGCACTTCCAAAAGAGTAAGTCTACCAAGAGTTTTGTTTTCAAGAAGAGATTTTTCTTTGTTTCAAGTACTTGAAGATTTCTACAAAATATGTTCTTATTTTTTTTCAAAAAGAAAATAGCCTAATTGGATTTATTTAAAGAAGAGAAAAATTTTTCCATTTGGAAAAAGAGTTATTGCATTAGAGAAAAAGTTATTATTTGTTAATGTAAGCTCATGAACTTGAATTAAATTTTGAGAACAATTCAAACTCTCAGTTTAGGTGGGTGGTTGGTTTAGTAGTTCAAACTTGATTTCTCGCTATTCTATGCGCACACATGCACACTTTAAAAAACTTCATCAACCTGTCCAATGCCTGCCTTTCAAGAGCACGAAAAACAACAACAGCTATTTTTGATATTCTACTCTAGCTAGAAAAGGATTTAGTATATTTCTGCAAAATGTAAATACATTGTTCCAGTAGTTTTCGCAAACATGCAAACGTTCACATTTATAATACCAGTAAGATAATATTGTAGTTAAATTCGTTTTAAAATGCAACATAATTCATCAATACAATAATTATTCAAATAGGAGATGAGCAAATTTGTGGATGTAAGAGAGCATCAACATGTGTGGGTCGCAGAAAGGCTTCCCTCAGACAAAGGTTGGGTGTTAAGAGCCCAGTCTCCTCAAGTCTACAGTACTTTGTTTTAACAACCTCTCATGTTCCTCCCCAGCATTTAGACATAAAACAATTCTGCAAAGTAACAGAGTGACCCATGGTTGGGTTTTCTTTTCGCTAAACATTTATCTCACTGTTATTATGCAGATATATATCGTTATGTTGGTATAAACGGGGTTGTTTTAATATATTAGGAATTGTATTTAGACCTGTTTATTGTTACTATTACACCAGTATTTATCGAAGTTTTTTTTTTTATCAAAGAACAGTCCAAACACTTGACTTGTTACTATCTAACTTCAACCTTTTGTTAGAAAGAATTGTTTAATATTCTAATGACAAATGGCATCTGGGCCTGGTAGCGATAATCGATTTGACTTGTCTACCCAGACAATTTTAATTACCAGACTAGCCATTTTGTTGGGTTTTCTGTCTGTGGAATTAACGTTCATGCCTAGAATAAAATTATTATCATTGCAAACTTACCCTTTGGTCACGTAACATTAGATCATTGTAACATGTTGGTCAACTCTAGCTGCACGTCGTAGGATACAATCTGCACGTTACATGTTGATCAACGCTAGCTGCACGTTGTATGATATAATTTGCACGTTACATGTTGATCAACACGAGCTGCACGTTGTATAATACAAACTGCACGTTTCGTGTTGATTAACGCTAGCTGCGAGCTGGCGTAGTGGTTAGAGCGCGGGACTTCAGTCCCTGAGGTCCCGGGTTCGATCCCCATCAAGTCACCAATGGATTTTATCCAAGTGATAATGCCGCAACCATTAGGTCTAGCCTGAAGTAATGTGAAAAAAAATCCCAGGCTCGTGCCTAGCGTCCTTAGGACAAAAAAAAATGATACAATCTGCACGTTACATGTTGATCAACGCTAGCTGCACGTTGTATGATGCAATCTGCAACGTTACATGTTGATAAACGCTAGTTGCACGTTGTATGATACAATCTGCAACGTTACATGTTGACCAACGCTAGCTGCACGTTGTATGATACAATCTGCAACGTTACATGTTGATCAACGCTAGCTGCACGTTGTATAATACAATCTGCAACGTTACATGTTGATCAACGCTAGCTGCACGTTGTATGATGCAATCTGCAACGTTACATGTTGATAAACGCTAGTTGCACGTTGTATGATACAATCTGCAACGTTACATGTTGACCAACGCTAGCTGCACGTTGTATGATACAATCTGCAACGTTACATGTTGATCAACGCTAGCTGCACGTTGTATAATACAATCTGCAACGTTACATGTTGATCAACGCTAGCTGCACGTTGTATGATACAATCTGCAACGTTACATATTGATCATTACTAGGTGCAAGTTGTATGATACAATCTGCACGTTACATGTTGATAAACACTAGCTGCAAGATGTATGATAAAATCTGCAACGTTACATATTGACCAACGCTAGCTGCACGTTGTATGATACAATCTGCTACGTTACATGTTTATCAACACTAGCTCCAAGTTGTATGATATAACCTGCACGTTACAAGTCGATTAACGTTGCTAGTTGAAAGTTGTATTTTGCAAACCACACGTTATATGTCCAACGTCACTTTCAACACGTTGAATGTTGCAAGCCACTCGTTATATGTTCAACGGCACTTTCTCCACGTTGTATGTTAGAAGCCACACGTTATGTTCAACGTACTTACTTCACATTGTATGTTAAAGCCACACGTTATATATTAATTGTTACCAGTTACACGTTATAATGTTTAACGTTGCTAGTTGTACGCCGTCGGTCGAGCTGTTCGACCACGACCTTGTCAGAGCCTATAAAGGTCCCTGTTGCTTGTCCAGCGTCTACTCGCGAGTTCTACCTGAAGCGCGACCGTCCACAATGAAACTGATCGTAAGTATTTATCAATTAATTACTTCGTTTACTAACAAGTTTTTAACAATAGTCCAAGACATATAAAACCTGTGCCACTTACTAATTATGTATGTTCGTCAATTAAACATTACTGTTAATTCCAGTGTCAACATGTAATTAATTAAAAGCTTCCCACAAATCATTACAGTACTACGTTTCATGCCGAAAGTTAATTAGATAATCAAACCGATTTGATGATTTTAACATGTAGATTTTATATATTGCAGATGTATGTTTATTGAAAGTAACCTTAAATACCGGAAAATATACAATATATAAACACCAAATATGGCTCACTAAAAATGTGTATATTATTTTTCGTGTTTTATTACTACTTATAGTTTCTAACTGAAATTTTCCGGTATTTAAGGTTACTTTCAATAAACATATATCTGCAATGTGTTTTATTTTGACTTTGCACTTTTAATTTAATTTGTTTGAATTTGAGACCAACAAAATATTAGGTATTTTCAAGCTTAAAGATCATTTACAAACTTTTATTTACCATTACAGTACAGCACAATAAACCGAAAAGTGTGAATATTTATTAATTCTTTATTCGACGGTCAACCTGATTTACATATTGTTGTGTGATGACTCGTTAACGTGGGGATTACCGATACTTATGAACCACAGTAAATAATTTAAATACTAGTTAGACTATTCAAGCTGTTAATAGAATTATACTTATGAACTTATGGTAATCACTAATCAGTTATTTATAGTTCCATCCCATTAAAGTCAATATACACGAAATGAATTAAACTACAAATTTGAATTCAGAGCGAATTTGTATTTACATTGAAAGTGGTTTAATAGCACTAAGCTTTTAGATAAAGGATAAAGTACGGCACATTATCTGGTGTAAACGCGTCCAGGGCGAATAAAGCGAGGTAGTCGTTTCCGATAAATCAGCGACGTGAATAAGTGTTATCAAGGCAATAAATTGAGGCGCCAGCCAGCGCCGCGCCACCCTGACTGAGATATCCGCTGACGTCACAGATACCCCCTCCCCCTCCCACGACGTCATAATACCAACTTACCTTTCTGATAATAATAATAGTCCATGCTTATCATGCTAATCTGATAATGGCTAATATCGCCTATACTAAGATATCAGCTGACGCCACAGATACCCCCTCACCCGACGTCATAACACGAACTTACCTTTCTTATAATAATAATCCTTGCTTATCATGCTAAACTGATTAACTATATACCTAAAATACCACCACAACTGAGATGTCAGGTGATAATGACTAATATCGCCAATACTAAGATATCAGCTGACGCCACAGATACCCCCTCCCCCGACGTCATAATACATACTTATCTTTCTGATAATAATAATCCATGCATATCATGCTAAACTGATTAACTATCTATCTAGAAACAACTGAGGTATCAGCCAAAACCCTCCCCTTACCACAGACGTAATAATACAAACTTATCTCTCTGATAATAATATACCTTGCTTATCACTGCTTAACTATCTACCTAGAATCTCACCACAACTGATATATCAGCTGACGTTATAGATACCCCCTCCCTGACGTCATAACACCAACTTACCTCTCTGATAATAATAATCCCTGCTAGTTGTGGTCAAACAATTGACTACATGTCTACATTATTATAATATCACCACCAATGAGTTATCATTGATTTACAAATACCCCCTTTCCAAAACCCCCTTTAATTAACAAAATCAACCCATATCTACAGTCCACACCAACATACCTAAAATATTACAAAAGAAATATTATTTCGAAAAGGGTTGTACAAGCATAATTTATGGTAAGTAAGTAACTGTCGTCGTTTTCCGAGTTGAGCATTCCGATAATAATTTTTTTATGGATTTACCTCACATATTTGGTAATCGTTAGTGATTAAATGTTTCTTTTAGATACACTTGCATAGTTACTAGAACAGTTTGCATTTACAGTGAATATAGAATATGGAGTTTTGCCAATTACTCTTAGTTAATTAGCTAATTATTCGTTATGTTTGGTAGTTTATTAGAATTTCATCACATGGGTATTTACAATTTTGTCATTTAATCAAAATATACGTGTGTCAGCAATGAAATCCCTTATTTAAATGGCACTAGAGTGAATTAAACTGTCCGTCTAAATGTAGTTTGAAAATGAACGATATTTTGGTATCCGCCCACTAACTTTGAACAGGCTTTATCCGCCCGACTTAACAACTTCTTACTTTATATAAGCTTTATATTGTATCGCCCACTCCATAATAAAAAGTGTACAGTATAAGCAAAGATTTTATAAACGTATACATTACAAGAACAAATATTAAAAGTTTTCTGAAACCTAGTTTCATGCCGTGGCTTACAGGATTATTAAATAAAGCCTGAGATTTACATTAAATTGTTTTAAAGAAATGTTTAGTAATCCGAACTGATGTAGCGGTAAGTGTCACGGGTTAAATATGCCTACTTCTTTCTTCAATATTAAAATTTGTGTACATAAAATCTACTCTCTATTTTATACTATTTATATTTTGGATTACATTCTAATTAGTTTGTTGCAGTGGTAAGGCAAGAAACAATGTTACTAGTTGTAATCAAATGAAATGCACAAAATGATAACTTTGAGCACACGATTAAATAATGTTGTAATTTTAATAATTCTTAATCATTAATTACTTTGAACAATCATTACGTTTCAGAGATAATGTTTCTAATTTGATAAGTTGAAACAAATAACAACATATACAGTATGTGTATACAGTACACTTGTATTGTTGTATGTTATAACAAATTCGTATACAGTTTAAAAAAATAATGTTAATCGGTTGAAAAGAAGACAGGTTTTCGTAAACGGGAACGCATTTTCAATTTCCCAAACCAACAGATTTACATGCAATCAGTTTGTTTACAGACAGCTCCACCTAAATTAGATTTCAAGCAAACACTTTTTTTAAATGCTTTTTAGAGAATGGTTGGAGTTGTGTTGCCTTATTTATAGTAATATTTTGATGTAAAACTTGTAAAACAACTAATGAATAGTAAAGCAAATAGAATATAGGATAATAATAAGGGCGGTTACGGCAAAGGGTTAAAGTCCCCGTTAAAAAAGTACAACTTAAATCCCCTAAGCTACTGATATAATAAAGATGAATGGCATTTTTCCATTTTCCATTTGGTAGTTTTTATTTTTTGTCCTTTGTCAATATTAACTATTTACCTTATTATGTTTAAAGTTGACCTTGCTCAGTAAAATATACATACTACTCATATCACTCACGATGATTAGTACACATTTGAGAAAACATCTAAACTATATTTTATGTTAAGTTTGTTTGACTTTTAAAGCGAAAACCCGATCGTAGTATGTTAATGTAAGCAACATCATTCCTCTACCCAGGTTTATGACAGTGGCTATGGTCTCATACTCAATAGGTAATTTCCCTTTTACTCTAGGATTTTTGGTCAATTCAACAACTTGAACGATTCAGCTTTGTTCCACAAGAATATAAACTATCCATCTCCGTGAGTCGCTCTAGAGCTGTAATTAATCTCAGGCATATAAACTACTTTAATTTAATGGAAAAAATTAAACATCAATTTTCTTTCATTGTTAGTTAAGACATTTTACAACAAAATGAATCCACATAAATCCTATCCTTTTCCATTCAATTCATCACATACCCTACATTAGTAACTCATAGTTAAACAATCAAACAAGAATATATTAACTTGACATCAATGACTTGCATCAATTTAGTTTTGTAACAAAACTTCAAGCATCACTAAACAGTAATACTACACCGAAACTCCACAGCCACTTCACAAGTCATACAGTAGCTAGCCGCAGAGGAGTTTGTTTAGTTGTTTGTTGCTTAGATGGAGATATTCTCTATATCTCAGGGATAAAACAGCCTCGTTTGGAAGATATTCAATACTATAAACATTTAATTGCTTTTGGAGCTATAAGCCAAAATGTACTATGCACATTGGAGTCCTATTTTATAAAATTCTTGGAAAATTGTTGATAGGTACCGTAACAATGTCAAGGAATGTGCTCTACCAAGCTATCGGACAACAGTTCATTTGTACAAGTTACGTTAGAACTCAGCAACTGTAATGGACAAAACATAAAATAATCAATCCTTTGTTAGTATTTACCAGTTGTGATCAACTCAAGTAAACTTACGATTACAAGAATACGTCAAGTGAAATTATTTTAAGAAATTACTTCAGGAATCATAGCTGACAATATTACTGTGAACCGCATTAATACCTTATTCTCAAAAGGGAATGGGTGAAAATCTGTTGCTAAATAATTTTAATCCCCAAATAAATAATTGCAAAAATAAACAACCATTAATTTTTTAAGTAAACATATTTACGTTCTGGCATAACACAGTTAACAAGTTCACTTGCAGTAATGTTAATGTTGATATTAACTGCAGCTCCAGGAATCGCTACAGCTCTGTGAGTTTATAGCTGAACTGCACTTGTTAATCAATATTCTGCTGCGTAACACAACTATCAAGTATACTTGCAGTAATGTTATGTTGATATTAACTGCAGCTCCAGGAACCGTCACAGCTCTGTGAGTTTATAGCTGAACTGCACTTGTTAATCAATACTCTGCTGCGTAACACAGTTATCAAGTATACTTGCAGTAATGTTATGTTGATATTAACTGCAGCTCCAGGAATCGCTACAGCTCTGTGAGTTTATAGCTGAACTGCACTTGTTAATCAATACTCTGCTGCGTAACACAGTTATCAAGTATACTTGCAGTAATGTTATGTTGATATTAACTGCAGCTCCAGGAATCGCTACAGCTCTGTGAGTTTATAGCTGAACTGCACTTGTTAATCAATACTCTGCTGCGTAACACAGTTATCAAGTATACTTAGCAGTAATGTTATGTTGATATTAACTGCAGCTCCAGGAATCGCTACAGCTCTGTGAGTTTATAGCTGAACTGCACTTGTTAATCAATACT